ACAACTGCGACCTCTTCCTTATCCAATATCTATGTTTATCCATGTATTCTATTCATTCCAAACAGATCCCTGCAAGCTCCCCCATAAGACTCAACACTAAAACGTTCGGAGCACTCATTCCACAGGTAACCTCTCTCTACTCTTTCTTTTGTCAACCCTACAAATGTCTAGCTCCGTCCCTTCTGCCACAAATTCACTCATTTTTAACACACATTTTCTAATTCAGATTGCACAACAGTTCCCTGATTTGATGATGAAGTTGCTGCTGAAGGAAGTAAAAAGCCCTGTTTTCGCATTCGAATCCGACAACACAACTATTCAAACGACAGCAACGATGACAGCCTTCGCCATTCAAGTCAACGGGACGCTCTCACCCTTGTTTGTGCTCAACATGGTGTGTAGCTAAAAAAACAACTGTCAAACTGAAGAAGGGAGAAACTTCAAAATTAACTTGAAATCTGCTTTTATGTATGCTTGGTTTACGTCAGAACACCAGCGTCAGTGTAGAAGTCTCTGTCAGCGGAACAAGCCTGGCGGGGTCTGTCTCCCTCAACAAGTGAGTGGTGAAAAATATATATAAAAAGAAAAAAGAGGCCAAGGGTCTTTGGCTAAATAAAAATGAAATTCTGATGTGTTCTCATTTGCACAGAATGGATTTAACCTTGGAGACAAGTTATGTTGGTGATTTTCAGGTAAGACTCTTCTCTATCCTTTTAATATGCATAAGTATCGATTCGACAGAGGGGAAAACAATTCTCAGATTTGTTTGTTGCCCTTTGGATATTTACATTTTATGGCACATTGAACATAATCTTCATTTGATCATTATAAGCTGTCTCCATCCTTGGAGTGAGTAATGTTGATCATTTTTTGTTATGTATTATGCATCAAACAGGTGAAATTACTGGACAGAATCTTCCAAAGTTTTCTAAAGGGTGTGATTCTCCCGAGAATAAATGGTACGTATGAGTTGAGCAGCACTTTTACAAACAAACTATGCCAAGTGGCCCGGATCGTTGCCACAGGGGCGTGATTATGTGCTTTTATGTTACGGAAAGCAGAAGAACCAGACTTTCAAACTGTGAAAAGAGGAAGTATATATTGAAATCTGTGCAACTCTTTCAAATCCATCACAGACTCTAACATAACTTGTCCAGTGCTCACTCACAAGATTATTTTTTGTTTTTATCCCAGATTAAGACTGGCTTTTTCAGACAGAAATGCCAAGAGTCCTGTTTTGAAAGGCTTTTCCTTACAAGTTAAAAGCTAATCGTGTACTATTATTGTTGTTTTTGCGCCATGATAAGTAATATACTTGGAAGAAAGAACATTTGTTGCATATTTCTGATTTAAACGTGTCTGGTTAAAGAGCAGTTGTGTCAGGAGGCCGCACAAAGCTCAAGTCCGGATGAGTCTAGGCCACAATAAATGGGGATTATTTATCTATGGGTCTTTATCTATTATATATCTATGGGTTTGTAAAATATATTGGAGCAAACGGATCTATGACGCACATGGAAGTTATTGAACGCTAAAATTTCACATGTCATTTATCTTTGCACCCACAGTTTAACTCCTGGATTGATAAACATCCCCAAGATTCAAATTGTGCCATGTTCTCATTCGTTGATGATAATAGTACATAAACAATACTCAAGAAGAAGAAGTGCAAAAAACAGTTGAATCAAATGTTTGTGGAACGTTTTTTTCATCTGTGAATCAATAATAACAATGCGTAAAGCTGCTTGGATTGAAGCAAAAGCACTGAAGGCTTAGTATTGTAGCTAGATTTAAAATGTGTTACTTCTGGTTATTACTTATTGCGTTTAGGGTTCAGTGTTTTTGATCGTATTAATGGCATGGCTTTTATTCTTTATAAGAATAGCTTTGAAGAATCTCTCGTCTTATTAAACCCACTATGTGCTCTCTCAATCACACATAAGCCTTACTCTAAGATCTATGTCCAGTCTGTTTTAGACAGCATTTATCAGATTCAGGAAATGACTCTGTCATTCTGACCATTGCAGCTGAATTTTCAAAGGGATTTCCACTTCCTACGATTGGAGAGGTGAAACTTGTAAACACCCAGTTGCAGATCGTGAAGGTGAGTGCTCGCTCCAGTGTTTTTATGTCGTGGATTCAGGCTCTGACGCTCCTCTGCTCTGCTCTGTAGGATTATGTTCTGATCGGGACTGATGTTCAGTTCTCTGGATGATGGAAGCTATAAATATAATCTTTTTTTTTACCTTTTTGTTTTCCCAAACCTCTGTAGGACAGTTGCTCTTGCTGTCACCACAGTCTTGTTTAAAACAACTACATATCTAGCGCACATCACATCCTTGTGCTGCTGACCCAAAGCATAAATGTCTTGAAAAGTTTCCGTCTGAGCGCAGTGTGCAGTTCTGACATGATGCTGATCTCTGGAATTTTCAAACATCTCCTTGAATCCCAGACATCAGGACACTGATAGTGCAGATAGCACAGATGACTTCATGTGCATTTGTCAGTATGTTTTAGATCAAAGCGGAACATTAAAACTCAGAATTTGAATGTATCTGTGGTCACAGCTTCATCATTATATTTCACTTACTTGCTTGACCATAAGCCAGTCGTTTTTTAAGTTCTTTGAACCCTGCAGCCATATAGGGGTGAGAGTGATGCCCTCAGCGTACAGCAAGTGTGGGGAGGGTCAGCAGAGTGTTTGGGTTGTGTGTGTGCATGTGTGTGTCAGTTCAGCGTCAGTGTGTTTAAAGAGACAAGGTGCAGGTCACATACACTCTTGCCCTCGCTGCATTTATCGGCTGCAGGATGGCGCAGTGGTTCCCACTTGTGCTTCACAGTAAGAAGGTCCTGGGTTTGATTCCACCGTCGTAGGTTTCCTCTCATCACAAGTCAACAGCGTGATGTTGATGTTGATGTTGAATCAAGTTAAAACAGTTTTTCATCTGCTTTTTTGTGTGTAAGCGTTACATTACAACATCCACTCAAATGGATAAAATGGACAACATTAGCTGTCTTTTAAAAATGCATCTCTTGGGTTTTATAGAATATACAGGTGCACTTGATTGCCCACTGTTGTCTACATTTTTTAAAAAGCACCTCTGAAATAGATTGAATGCATAAAACACAATTGTCCTGGGGATTTGTGTAATAAATGAATAATTGTATTCTTGAAGAGATCTGAAATGTAGCTCATCGTGTGACACCCTCCCATTGAACTTGATAAAGTGTGGTACAAGCTATTACGGCTTTTGCATTAACCTCATGTTATTGTCATAACCAAAGAGGGGCTTTCTTGTGATTGAAAATCCCCCTTTTCTGTAAAGGAGGACTGCGCGTTACTCCAGTAATTCAGTGTTCTTCCGAGAGGCCAGAATGACATTGTAAATGCATCATGATAATATAACAGTTCTGGAAATGTTTTTGATGAACACGTACACTGTACAATGGGACAATTCAAATATAGAAGATGATTATTTCATAACAGCATAAACCTAATATTGTAGCATCTGGACAAATATATTACGACAATGGAATATTTTTATTATGACAGTGAATCAAACATGAACAGACAAATGGTCAAACGAAATCAAGGCTATAAATACGAAAATATTCAAAAAGGAAAACTGCACCGAGCTGGAGGCTGTGGCAAAAACTGGAGAAAAAGTGTGGACCAAAAAAGGCTAAAATGATTGAATATGAAATATTGTATAAAAAACTCACACACACAAATATTTCCTGCTAAAAATATGAGTATATCGTATATCATTAATGACATAAATCAATAAAGTTTAGTTTCAAAACTTTTACAAAACAATTGTTTACAAAGACAGTTTTTGACATTCTGGACTAACAGTAGCTGTGGTTTTTTAAATCTTTTGGCACAGGGACAAAAGTCATTAGTATAGTTAGTTATTAGAATAGTTGCTGTTTATCTATCAGCGATCTTCACACTTTCCAGGGGCTCGAGACAGGGGTGTCCTCAGTCCTCTTCCCTCTGCAGTCCCTGGCCCAGTCCGTTTATCTCAAGTCACTCAGATTGAATTGAATGTCCTCCTGTATGTGAGGAATGTTCAAGCACACGCTAATATTCTAAATAAATTCTTAAAATCACGACATCCTCTCTGAAATCTATTGTTTAAACTGACTAATTGCACTACCTAAACCTTTAGTTGGCCCAGAGCAGTGGCCTATGCGGCCACCATTTCTTCATTTTTGTAGTTTCATGATTCACCTCTACCACCTGCATGTTATTGGGACAGGATCCGCATTGCCATAGCTAAGTTTATCTGGAACGTCTAACAGCCACGACCAGTCAACCGTGGCAGAGCTGCAGGTGGACTGTCACTTACACTTTTAAAATACGTCATCAGGCTTTTGTACCGTGTCCCCTTTGTACGTGGTTTGATAGTTCAGTTGAAGTGGCCTACGTAAACATTGTATGAGAGAGGCCTTCATTCCTTTGGAGACTTCCATGAAAACTAATGGAAACTGACAGCATATAATACTTAAACTTATAAATATATAATACTTGGTGTATATATTCTATGTGACTTTATGATGTATCTTTGAAGTCTCAAAAAGATTACTCCAAGAACTCCCGGATCTATAATAATGGCCAATGCCTCACTCAGGATCAGACGTCATTCGCTTTCTGACGATTCATATGATTATGAAGTGTCTTCCCATCCCTGGGGTAACGTGTCCTGGACAAGAGCAGGAGAGAGAGGGGGAGGTCCATGAGCTGTGGGAGTGACTGGACACCACTATAAACTGTCCATGATGCAGAGTTACAGCAGGTGCTTATTCAACAAGATGATACGAGTGGACAGCACTGACTGAGGAGCTTCACTTTTCACTCAATAAGGTAACGCATCATTACAGAGCATGAAAATACTCAAATCTATGACTTTATTTTGAGCACAGTAAAAATGTAGGTGTTTTTCATATGTAATTTATTCTTTGTTCTCATTTGCGCCTGACCAGCAGTTACAGTGATGATGGAGAAAGCTGCAGTGCTCTTCTGTCTTTTTGTGACTCTTTCTGGCTCACCTTTGTATCCCTCTATTAGGTAAACCCTGCACATGCACACAATGCAATAACATACAATGGAAAATGTATACTTCCTTTATAGCTGTATCATTTTGTAATAGATAGATAGATACTTTATTGATCCCCATTGGAGAACTTCAGGTGTCCAGCAGCAGCAAAAATAAAAATAAAAATTGATCATTCCAAAAAGCTAACAATAGTAAATAATGAGCAACAGCCCTTCAGGTCACAGCAGCAGAGATGGAGTAGCCTCTGTGTGGAGCAAAACTCCAACAATAAACTTAAGCAATGAAAGTTAGAAAATATACACACACATATGATTTTACTAACCTAAAGTCCTAATCCTAAATGTTCAGATTTTCACTTGTCTTGGCTGTATTGTTATTGATTTGAGTGAAACTGTTCTGATTGTTGTGGCTCAATGTTTGAGTGACGTTTGCGTATTTCTCCTCGTTTCTGGATGGGTTTCCTCCGAGCGATCCTGTTCCCCCATCACTCAATTGCAGCTTGAATCCCCTCCTCCCAATGGTCGGAGGGGCCGATGGCACAGCATCGTCCAGTGGATAAACATAGTGACTGCGCTATAGCTTCCAACCCTCTAAAGTGCGTGACAAGTGCAAGGCATCATTATAATTACCTTCAGCGCTGAAAAGGCTGTATTATTGCGAGAAAGCATATACTTTGGTTTGAGTTAAATATGTCATGACCGAGGCCTCTGCAGTTGTCATGTTAATGGGAGGTCAGTATCTGAATAAGTGGACCAATCACACGAGACCTGTGTCAAGTAAAAGTGAGCAAAATGTACCAAGTGTAAGAATGTTGGGCTATTATTATGATTTTATGGGTGTTCTAGATCAAGGCACAGCAGTTTCCCTCATTTTTAAGTCATATGCTAATTTTTGAAAACTAATTGTTTGGAGTCAATCATTAGACTTGGTAAATTGACACACATTGAGACAGATTATTTGTGATCATCCAGAAATGGAGGGAACCGCTTGTGTTGTGTATGTTATGTCATTTTAAAACATTTGTTCAGTACTTATATATTTATCCATTTGAAGGTTTGGGCAACGAGATACAGCGATCCTTATGGCTTCTCTAGAAAGCCCAGCACAGAATTCAGAAGAATACGGCCCTCAGACAGAGCAAGCAGAGATGCGGTGAGTTGGCTCAGTTATCACGTGATTTGGGAAAAATTAGTTCCTCTTTTTGAGCATAAAGGCACTAATATGAACGTTTTTAATATTATTGTGTGTGTGTGATATGATGTAGAATAGGACGTCACGCAGACGCCATCTTCACAAACGGTTACAGGAAAGTGCTTGGACAAGTCTCTGCCAGAAAGTTTCTACAAACAATTATGGGCAAAAGACTTGGGTAATTGTTCAAATATGTATTCACATCTTATGAGGCCATTACACATTATTATCATTATTATTATTATTATAAGTATAATTATTTATATTTCATAATGTTTTCATATTGTTTGCTATGGAAAGATTAAAGCTCAAGATTTCTTTTGTTTTAATTGGGATCTGTATATCTAATATAAACAGAGAAAAAATTATGAATAATTGCAGCATTTTTAAAATTTCAAAATACATTTCAGCCTTAAGTATTAAACAATTTACTTTTTTTCTCTATACTTCAACATAAAAGATCTATTCCGATATATAACTTTGTCACATAATATCTATCAGTTAATTTAGAGAAGTTTTGTCCCAGTTTGTGTGAAAATTTCCTCATATAATCTACAACCAGGATCTAGAAAATTGTAAACCACTTGCCACATTTTTAGCAAATATAATCAATAGTATTATTATAGTGTTGTCCAAGGGAACACTGTACAGAAATGTTGCAGATTTCAGCCATAATCGATGTGTTTTGTTCAGGGGGGAAAGCGAGAGCTACATGAAGCGTCAGTACCAGGGGACGTACAAAGAGGACCTGACCTCCATCCAGAGCCAATACAGAGGACTCCTGGACGAGCTGAAGCCGAGGTCTCAACTGTTTTGTGTTTTTAATATTGAAGAGGATAAATGTAACGCTGTGTTCTGTTCACAGGCTGCTGAGTTGAGGTTTTGCCCGAGGAGGAAGGCTCCAAATCCTCATTGACCGTTCTATCAATTCCAATTTATCTTAATTTGTCCTCAGTTGCTAATAAAAGTGTACATTTGTTCTGTGACTCTTTTTCTTTGAGAGGGGTTAGATTACACTCAAGACATATTTAGTTTAGCAGCAAAGTGTATAGGTCTGAAACAAAGCAAACAGCTCAGCTTTTATTGAACCGAAAATCAGGAATTGAAATTATTGACAAAACTAGACTATTGTTCAAAACTCCATTTACTTCTGTTTTTTACTTCTTCAAAATGTCCTGGTTGTAAATAGTGTGCTGGTGAGGTTCCCTAGCGGCCTGAAACATTACAATATAAGTAGATAGCAAGAGATTAAAATCATATCCCGTTTGTACACTTACAAACAGGATATGACACTTCGGCAACATTAGCTTTTTTTAAAAAAAACTGTTGGATATTAAAAATAAAACTTTATTTGTAAATAAAAGTTTTATTTACCAATATAAAAAGATAAAAAGATGTTTGAAACATTATCCTAAATTGGTGGAGATGTATCATTCTACTTCCTGCGTGTGGTTTGCATGCTCAGGATGTCCATCCATCCATCCATTTCAATCATCAATTATGTTTTGACTGCTTCATACAAAACAATGTTCTCTTAGTGTAGGATTCAATGAGAGAATCATATAAACCTGACACTGACAGCCGGAGCACGCCTGTAGAATGACAATTGGGAACTATGAAAACAAGAAAAGACAAAGTCCTTCACCTCAGTTTTCTTTTATTTCCTCCGCAATTACAAAAACAGATGCATTTCCATTGTGGTAAAACTGTACAGTAGACTAATGTGCCCGTGTTTTGTGAGGGAACGGCCGAGATTTGAAAACGAGGAAAGGGGCACTGACAGTCAACAAAGAGGAATGTAAAAAACAAAAACCACACACACACACAATTCCCCTAACGATCCACAGTTTACAAAATGCAGCTTTGATGGACAAGAACTAAAATTTTTCATGAAGGTGAAGTGCATTGATCAGTAGCTTTAGAGCCTTCAGTAAAACAATCTGTCACTGTACAGTATTTCTGGGTTTGTGTGGCAAAACAATATTTTTTACATTTGGCGACACAAAAAAACATGTAAAAAATGCGAATTGGGTTGAGAAACTGCTGCGCCGTTGTATCCGAGTCTGATGTGATGTAGAATGACTTCTTGCAAAACAGAAGACATATCTTTGCCCGTTTCTTCTTCGAGTTTGTACAGTTCAGTTTTTCTCAGTTCTGTGAAAAGATGAGAGATGCACACGTCAGATCGGGCACAGTTTCAGGCCCCTGGTGAGGGCTCTTGAGGATATGAAAACTGTTTTACATGACGTCTACAGCCAGGTGAAACATGCATGGACCTAATCAATGATATGAGATTGGTACAGGTGATCACTTCCTGCCGTTAAAATAAGAAAGAAACAAATACGATACATTTTACATCATTCAAAAAGTAAGTAGACATGTTGTCAGTTGTTCAATAAATATCAATTACATTTTGACAATTTTTACGTTTCCATTGCAAAAACCACATTCAGATGGTGCATTGTCGAGTTGTGTGTTCAGTCATGCATCGTAATATTCCATAAATCGTTTGAGTTTGTCTAAATGAATGTGTGGGTGAGGAGGGGCTGGAATCACACAAGTGTTTGCTTTGCTCAGCCCCTTTTCAAAACATGTTATTGTCTGTTACGTTTTGTTCGATGTGAGCAGTTTTGAAATAAATCGAATGAACAAACTGAAAGACACCCCACATGCAGTCTTCATCGTGTTAGAAAACATGTTATCAAAAGACATGCGTGTGGAAACTAGTGGTAAAAGCAAACTGTTTTGAGAGTGAGGAACTGATTAAATTGGTTTTATGGTTTAAAATTTAGGTATCCTAGCTTTAGCAAACATGACAGGACAAGTTCTTGTGATACTCTTATATTCAAGGGATAAAATTTAATAATTCCGAGCATAAGTGAATGGCATAAACAGGACAGGGTTAAATTGACCAGCCAAATTACTGACTTTTGCAACTGGACTTTTTTCATTACAAAGTTAGATAAAAAGTCTGTCAACCTCACACTAGCTTTTGTGAGGTTGACAGAGATTCAGTCATCTCTGAATCTCTAAATCAGATTATTGACAACAAAGATATGAACTTATATGGGCATATATTTAAATGATTTAGTACGGTTGGAAGGCTGTAAGTAAATGGTGGATGCTTCCAGAAATAGAGTAATACAGAGCAACATATAGAGAAATAAGGAAAACCTGCTCCAAATGTCTTTAAAAAAGTAACACTACAACATGTATGAACATTGTAAAGCGCTTGGAGTGGCCGCGGTCTATAAAAATGCGCTATATAATTAAAGATTACTCACAACACCACACACCAATGTAAAAATGATCATAATCTAAAACTTGCTTCCATGGATTTTAATGAACAGTCAACCAGTCAAAGCAATGTGTAAGGGCACAATCAAAAACACAATGAGGGGTGCGTTGAGTGTGAGTGACGGGCAAACCAGAAACAGGCAGGGCGTGTCAGAACAGTGTCAGTGATGAGCCATGCAAAGATCAGCTGAGATGGAAGTGCACTCAAGACACCGTCTGAAAGTCCCTTACTTTAGCCGGGAAGCACGACCAACTCAACTCATACAAAAGGGATTTATCGCAGGCTCCTATACTTTGCCAACCTACTACTTTGCTCAGCAGCAATCCTGAAAAGAGGGAGAAAAAAAGACAGCCGAGTGGAGAAGGGAAGGGTTAGACAGAAAGGAGGCAGCAGGGAAAAGAAAAAGTCCTCAACGTTTTCAAATGTTAAAGAGTGTAAAATGTTCTGGTCGAGTATCAATTACAGTACAACCGAGTAGGAGCAGTTCAGTGTCCCCCAGAGAGCTCTACATATCGCTGCCATGGAGACATTGCCCTGTCAGAGCCGCTTTGAAAGGCCCTCTGTCTTGATGTGAGAAGGCAAGGGACTGACACAATCCTCTAAGGAGGCAATATGACGACCTGGGAAACTCTCAAGTCCAAGGAGAGGAAGAATAATCTAAACGGGTCACGAGGCCACATACCTCTTCACTGCTTTCTGGGCCAGCATGTGGTTCCCCGCAAGGAAAGTGACGCCCCCGATTATAGCCAGGTATTTGAGGGTCTGGAACATGTCAAGATGAGTCCAATAGACGTACATGAGGCCCAGCATGGCTGTAAGAAACAAACAACAATGCGTTCATGAGTGCTAATTAATGTGTGTATGTCATTCATATTTACTGGTTGTGCGTTTATTCAAAAACGAGTGCATTGCACAATCAATATCGTTATAAGATGAGGGTTTGGCCATTAGAGCCTTCATCTGATTATTCTTATTGTTTCCTTAGACCCCAATATACCCCATTTTTGAGCGTGCATTGCTTTGTTTTTGATATGAGTGTGCAATACGCAATCTTTTTTTAAATTGCACTGCATTGCAAATAATCAGTTTATACTTGAAGGTATATAAAATGGGGTTTTCCATAATTTGCTACAATTTCTTCCTTTCTTTTTTTAAACCTTATTTCATCGGTGCAGAAGTGATGTCCCATTAGAACCTCTAGTGTATTTAAAAACCATTATAGAAATATTATGAATAATGCATAGATGAGTAATTCTCTTTCACACAAACACAATGAACACGTCTTTTGAGGTCATACACCTCTGGAGCAGATGATTAAACCAAAGGTTATGAGCAAATATAAATAATCATGTGATGAACAATATCTGACACTGACCTGCGTGTCCAGCGTGGAACAGAATGGTGCTCGGAGAGAAGCTAAAGTTGGAGATGTTTGCTCCAAGCTTCAGCCACTACAGAGGAGAGGCAGAATAAAACACTGTTATTTTTATGCACAAGAGCTTTGAACAAAGAGCTGCAACAGTGTTTACAGTCTCCTACACAATACACTGTTACAATAACTATTACAGCTCTGCAAATGCCACCAAAACAAACACGCAATGGCTTTTGTGATTTCATTAACAGCATAATCATGAAACATGGGGCCTCCTGTACAACACGAGAGGTTTTCTGAGAATAGTGCTTTATGAATCTATGAAAGAATACATTCTGTACAAGTCCCTTTTGCATCTCAAACTAATCCATTTACAGCGGTTCTTGAGCTTTTACAATAAACCAAATGAAAGGAGACACTATTAACTGGCTCAAGCAGTAAGAGAGTAAAAGAACACATGGCTTTACTCATTCACTTTATACAAAGTGGTGGTAAACAACTACCCAAGCCATTGCTGCCCTGAGGCAGACTGGCTGAATCAAGGAAGCCAGTATGTGCCATCGACACATGGCTGAGTGGTTAGCACTCTCGCTTCTAGTCCCGGGTGCTGCACTAGGGCGACCACTGCCCTTGAAAGACAGACTAGTGGCATTGGAAGGATGGGTCAAATGCAGAGGAAAAAAATTCCCTACGAGTACTATGAAGTATAACGTATCTGGCCTTTCTAACAACCAATCATTCAAATATACCAGACTCAATGTGGGTGTTCCAAGAGGTCTCACCACCACAGTACTAGCCAGGCCCTGTCTTGATTAGCTTCAGCTATCACATTTTCACATTGAGTACCACCAGAGCTAAGTTCAAAACGATTCATGGCCTTTGAGTCAAACTGCGGACATTGTCCTTGACCCTTTCTTTAGCAGTTCCAAAATCAGGATAAACAAACAGTGGGATGACAAAATAATGATGCCAGATGTCGTCAGAATCATGTGGATAAAACAATAGTCTTACCAGAATGAGAAGAAGAAGAAGTGGTGAAAGGATGAGTGCAGTAAACGTATTGGAAACCACGGTGGGAGGCTTCTTTTCTGGTTCTCTAAACAAGTGCTGCAAACACAGCAAAACAACAAAAATGCTTTAGCTTTACATATTTTAAATATTTCCTTTACAAATTGAATGAAGTGTTACCTGAATTTCAGGTTTTGGCACATAGAGCGTCTTGGGCTGGATTGTTGCTGGAGCTTCCTCATCCAGAAATTTCAGTACAACATCAGCCTTTGTGAATCACATACAAGTTAATATTCAGGCCCAGGTTTCATGGTATGATTTACAGAAATATGATTTGTCCAACACTCACCACGGTCCATAATATGGGGTTATCCAAAGTCGCATCACCAACGATCAGACAGAGAGTGTATGTTCCAGACATTGAGTCGAACTCAGATTTTCTCTCTGCTGTATCCAGCTCAAATTTATACACATTTTTGGCGTCTGGCTCAGCCACAAATACAACTTCTTGTCCAGTTTTCTGGTTATGCAGACGGACAAAAGTCTACAAAGAGGGACATCCAACTTTAGGCAGAGAAAGGCACATTTATTTGCTTAACACAATGCATGCGGTCAAGGCTAGATTATTTGCATAACACGTTATACAAACACAGGGAAATTGAGGTGCGTGCTTTACAATGTTTTTACTAAAAAGTTGAGGATGACCATTTCAGACATTTGCAGCCTACGTTTGACCATTAACTCATGTTTAGTCCCAACCCTGGACATCAGCTGGAGGCCAGAACCTGTGCTCCTCAGAGTCTGAGTTGGTTCATATGGCACTAACACAGATTTACTTTGGTGCGAGACCATGGAGAGACTTGTTCACAAGCAGAGCGGCTTTAAAGTCTGTTGTCTAAGAACTGGATTACTGTGATCATAATTACTGGTTCTCGTGAGGAATTGCATGAGAACCAGGAATTATTCAAAAGCAGTTTGAACATTTTGCAAATATTTTACAGCTTGTTTGAAGGGTAAAAGATGTCTACACATACCTGATGAGGGGTGAGTTCCACTCCAGTGTTGGTGTCAACTAGTTGGAAGGACATGGCAAAGTTTTGGTGACTGTCTGCAGTGAATGGAGTCTTTGATTTGGATGGATAATCCACTCTGCAATGCATCAGGGAACAAGGTAGCACTAAATAGTATTTGTCAGCAGATTTCAGACTAAATATGAATGCATTTTTACCTTGTGGTTTTTGAACCAATGCTTTGGTCTTTATCCACAACTGAGAGGTCCATGTTGGTTACAGCGACCTCTGTTGACACCTTCACCTTAAGCTTTAAGCAGAATGAAACCCCCATAACATAATGAGATATCATAATACTATACTGATTTTGTACTATACCATACACATTCTAAAGCAGGGGTGTCCAAACTAGTCCAGAAAGGGCCGCTGTGGCTGCAGGTTTTCTGTCAGACCCAGCAGGAGCAGCACAGACTCCGCCCATTTCCTCAAGTGAGTTCAGTCTTAACCTGAAGATTTGATGAAATGGGTGGAGTCTGCTCTGCTCCTGCTGGGTCTAATAGAAAACCTGCAGCCACAACAGCCCTTTCTGGACCGGTTTGGACACCTCTAAAGTACTGAAAACAAGTGTAAATGGTTAAAAGCCCATACAAAAGCTTACCTCAACATGATTAGCCACCAGTCTGCTGTCACCTGTTACAGCTACAGTGAACTGGTAATAACCACTCGCTGGCTGACTGGACATGAAGTTCAGCTCAAAAACTCCACTGAGAAAAGAGAAACCGTTTTAATATGAGCACAAGCTGCAAAGAACAAACATTTAACAGAGAATGCCATAGGGTTTCTTTCCAATAGCCGCAAGTTAATCGTGAATACATACTCATTCAGAGTGAAAGGTGCCTGGCTGAGGATGAGGCTCTTTGAGGCCACAGCATACGCAGATTCCACCAGGACATTTGCTGTGGCCAAGGGCTGGGACATGACATCGGTTATAAGAAGCTGTGGATCAGACAAACTGACAAGTTGACTGTCGGTTCATTAAATCCTAACCAGAGTAGGTTTGTATTATTTTTACCTGCAGAGTGGGTTGGCTGTGAGATACAGTCGCAGGACCCTGAGCACTGACGATAACTGGGACATGGAAGCGGTTGTTAGAGAGAGCGGCGGCAGCAAGGGCCACACTACAGGCTTCAGATAGGGAATCCCAGGACTTCTTGCTGAATATCGAATTAACGAGCTGAATAACCTGGTCCTGATTTAAAAAAAAAAAACTTTAATATTGATCTCAAACACAAAAAACATCACTTATGCATATTTACTTCTTTCAGAGGTGGCTCCATATCCACATGATCAGATAGAGAGTAAGCCACAGAGACAAACATAGCTGTTGCTTCAAGCCCCTCCTCAAATTGGAGATACAGACCGCCAAGGTCATCCAAACGAGCAGTTAGATCCTGAAAAGTGGCAAATACATGACATTATAAAGACGTTGGGGTAAAAGCGAGGTGAAACACTATAATGTGTGAAGTCTCGTAGCTCCCTCTTGTGGAGATTACCTCAATCTCTTCCAGAATTGCTCCTAGTTCTGCCTGCTGGGGCAGTTTGGCTGCTGTTGCTAAAGCCAATGTGATGCTGCAAATACATCACCGATTAAAATTCTTTCTTTCTTTACCTTTTGTTTAACAGTCTCTCTAATACAATAACTTACGCCATGACATTGTCTTCCTTCTTGATACGTGCAGTCAATGCAGCAACAACTTCTTGGGATGCGACTGGGAGACCCAAAGAGCTGAGTGCACTCACAGCTCTATGAATCTGAGCCATGGTTGAATCTTCACTGACTGCAGCCAGAAGGATATCCCGGGTTTCATTTGAGACTGGAATCTAAAATAAAAAAATCCTTAACAGGAGACAAACTTTTGCGTTCCTTCTCAAAAACAAGGAGGAGCAACTTACCTCACATCCTGAAATGGCATTACTTGCTTCAGCAGCAAAAAATAAGGAGTCAAGACTCATGGGGTCCAGCTGCGATTTAAGGAACCGGCAAACCTCCTAGGTAAAACACAGACACAAGGAGTTATGAACTGGTCGCTTTGTAACTATAAAACATAGACAAAATCCTGTGCTGTGAAGTACCTAGCTTTTTAGATATAAAGCAACATTTTGTAAATTATTTTATGGTGCTTTTAAAAAAATATTGACATGTGTCCTAATTAAATAGGCATCTCTGTGAGGTATAACATATTTTGAAACACAGAACGGACAAGAAAAAAATAGTACTACATTTTATTTGTCCAGAATGACACAGAAGGTACAAATAACATTTCATTCACAATTCAGACCACATATTATCTTTCTCTCATTTTACATTTTGCGAACTGTCAAAATAGTGACACTAATACTCTCTTTTACTCTTTGGTAGAGATCTAATTGGCTGAGGGTGGTACTCCCTTTATCCCTTTTCTGTCTAGATGCGACAGAAATAATATCTGTTTTGAAATAGAAACTGTTTAGATTTAGTTTAGTACATTTTTATATTTTGGTTTAAAGTTAAATACCATGAAGAAGTGAAGACCTAATGCAACTGATTGGGTTACTAAACATATATAACCGAGAATGTTTCATAGCATAGTTTTAACTTTACATATTCACGTAATTTTGCATGTGTTGCATCAATAAAAAAAACCTGATAATTAATTTAAATAATTACATCGTGATCAGGCACAGCACTTCCAAGCTTCGTCAGTCCAACAATAGAATAGTAAGAAGACTCAAGATCAGTGAAGGGCTGTCCCAAAGCAGACTGCAACCGGGCCACGTCGGATAAGGACAGGTAATGTGTCGGTATGAGCCCTGGAACACCAGTCAGCGCCAGGCTGAGAACCAAGCACCCGAGTAGCCCTGAGGAATCACATAAATAATACTTAAAAATACATTATAAAAAATAAAAATATAGACAAAGTATTAGCCTATTATTATGGACCACATCAGCAATTCATTCATTAACAGCACTTCCTTCCTTTAGCAAGGAGACATGCTAGCTAACGTCAGAGCGAAATCCCACGAATGCAGACTAAATACGCCAAACTCTCCGCCATGCAATTCAAAATAAAATGGATAATGTAATCACATTAACATCAACACAACAGAAACATCTAATGAATGCTTAAAAAGGACTATGTTACTCACAAGACCGGTGCATGTCTGGAGATCTAATGCAGCGTCACCAAAATCGAGTGGGCTTCCGGTCTTCCACTTCCGCTAGCGTGAATATTATTTGAGGTGACTTCCGGGAATCCAAATTGGTAGGCATCAGGCACGTTATTATTATAGATAAATGATCAGGCAACGTAGGGTGGATACGTAGGCATAGAGGGAAAACCGACCTGTGCCTACGAGACCTGAGGCAAGACCTGGGGCGAGACCTGACGTGAATTTGGACCATGGATCTATTATAATAACTGGATAGGGTATTACTAGCTTGTAGCTGAAGAACTCATGTGCTCGGGGGATTCTCGCGGTACTGCAGACTGAACCAGACTAAATTCATGTGGGCTACCCAGAAATTTTCCCCATAGAACTCAATGCATATTAAAAAAGCTCAACCTCAGCTGACAGAGAACCTACAGCTTTCATAAAGGTCGGATTTTGTGGGGATTTTAGTGTCCCTTGTCATCCTGAACTTTTTTTCTTCTTAAATCCTTCGGTTTTGTTTAAATCCACACTTTAGTGCCACAAACTCTGCTCGTCTGGCTCTCGCTCTAACTCCCGCTCTGATGAACTGCTCTGATTGGTCAGAGCGCGGCCGAGCCCCTCTGTGCACGTGCGTGAGACCCGGTGTGAGACCCACACACGCGTGTTTGGCGCAACGCATTATGGGAGATCATCCACCGCGCAGAACCGGGAGGACCAGACGATGCCCAAATACAGGCGAGTTTCCCATAGATCTTTGAGTTTCGCATAGATCTTTGAGTTTCCCATAGATCTTTGCGAGTTTCGGGCAACTTCCGCTAATCTTTCAGCCCCCATGCCGTCACAAAGCGCCACTGAGCACAACCATTCATTTGAATAGGGCGCCATCTTGGATCGCCGGGGCTTGGTTGGCCATGAAAAGTGCTTTCATGGAGCAATCCAAGATGGCCGCGAGTGGTCCCGCCCACAAGAAAATTGTGAAAAAACGCATCTGCGCATGCGTCAGCCGGCGCAGCTCCATTCATTTGAACGAGAGACTTCAAAAATTCCCTGCGAGTAAACTAGAGTGGACCAAAAAAAATCACCCCCCTCAGCATTGACACACATGTGGAACGGAGCTTTGGGCCAAGAGCCAACTTTTGGTCCATCCTGTGAAGACGTTTTTGAGAGGTCTGCTAACGCTATATGTTAGCATTGGCTAATTCTTCTTCTGGGTCCACCCCCATCGGCCCGGGGTGGTATTGCAAGCATGTCAGCGCACGTCATTTTGGCCAATTTTGAGCCGGGACCCTCCCCCACTGGTGTAGACCCACACACGCGTGTTTGGCGGAACGCATTATGGGAGATCATCCACTGCGCAGAGCCGGGAGTGTCACTCCCGTATTCGTCCCGGAAACCGGATTCGTCCGGAAGTTCAGTTTGCGCATGTCAAAAAGTTTAATATGTCCTTAAGTGGAGACTGGTTAAGTTTAGGCGTCTGATTAAGATGGTTAAGGTTAGGGTTAAGGCTGGGTTGGGGTTATTTTATGGGAATGGCTGGTTAAGTTTAGGCATGAATAGGTAGTTTTTTATATTTACTTCCGCTTCCGTCCAGATTCCGTGACGTAATCTACTGCCGCGTATGCTCATTGGATCAAACTGAACTTCCGGACGAATCCGGTTTCCGGGACGAATACGGGAGTGACAAGGAGGACCAGACGATGCCCAAATACAGGCGAGTTTCCCATAGATCTTTGCGAGTTCCAGGCGACTTCCGCTAATCTTTCAGCCCCCATGTCGTCACAAAGCGCTGCCACTGAGCACAACCATTCATTTGAATAGGGCGCCATCTTGGATCGCCGGGGCTTGGTCCTTCCGCTCCGCTCTGAGTTGTGTAGTCACGTGGCGAAGGCAGAAGGCAGCTTTTGTCCAAATTCACCTCAGGTCTCGCCACCTACGTCGCAGAGGTGGGACAAAGTCATTGTTTAGCAAGTCACAAGTCAGTCTCAATTCATTGCCCTCAAGTCCCGAGTCAAGTCACGAGTCAAGACAGGCAAGTCCCGAGTCGAGTCCAAGTCAAAGGCCAACAAATCTCAAGTCAGTCCCAAGTCCTACGGTTTGACTTTCGAGTCCTCTCGAGTCTTTTTGACCGCGATTTGTTTCTTGTTGGTCTCCACGTACTTTTGTAGGCAAACAAAATAATGTTAGGAATCATTTTGCTGGTGCATTCTCGTTGGTCTCTGACCCATGGACTAACAGTTTGTTCCATGTCGTTGTCTGCTGATAAATCAAAACTATCTATGTGATCTAATTGGATGTTGTGCCAGATGCAGGCTCAGTTACACATGCACAGACCACACATAAAATCAGAGCAGTCCGTGTCAACATACTTTTTATCTTTGGGGTTTTTAATGGGAAGTAGCAAGTGCAGCATATATGAATATGAGTATTGGGCTAGGACCTGTATCTATATAATCAGTTTAATGTCCGTAGTGGTTATTGTTCCAAATGTCCTACTGTAGAATAGGGGTAGTATGAGGGGTCTAGGCTTTGGACCTGGGGCAGCTCGCCATCAACTGGACCAGCATTAGCAATATCTCATAATTACCAATATATCATTACATAATAAAATGTCTCATATAAATTAATTCAATCAGTCAAAGCACTGATTCTCATATCAATGCACCATAAACAATAGTGCAAATATTAATCTAGCTTAGTGCCCATAATCAAAACAACTATCTAATGTATGCAAACTTTAGCAGGAGGAGCACAGCAAAAATATACTCATAATAATAGGCCTCTGCGCCCACACAGAAAAATATAAGAAAGAGCCAACAGAGCAGCGCAGGCTAGCGCTAGTTTGACTCACCAGTTCCTCTTTAAAACACGGCACACAGTGTGACAACTGCGTCGATTCAATTGTATGAGGCGCCTGTAGTGAAAGCATATCAATTACGGTTTGTAGAACAAAGTATGACGTTAGGTCGCGATAAATACCTGCAGCTCGCTCATTTCCAGCTCCCCCACGACAACACACCCACCGGTGAATGCAGTCCGCTTGTTTAGGGAAGTGTTGCTGCGCGAAACTCACGTTCGAACTCTCTCGCGAGCGCTACAACTACCGCGAGACTTTGTTTCTTCAGAGACGGCATAGATAGAAAGAGAGATACGGAGAAAGGTAAAAATGGCCCGGGTTACGCAAGTCTTTACAAGTCAATTGGCGCAAGTCCAAGTGAAAGTCAGAGTCATTGATGTTAAAGTCCAAGTCGAGTTGCAAGTCTTTTTATATTTGGTCAAGTCGAGTCTAAAGTCATCAAAATCATGACTCGAGTCTGACTCGAGTCCAAGTCACATGACTCGAGTCCACACCTCTGCTACGTCGCCTGTGCCGACGCGGTTTTCCCTCTATGCCTACGTATCCACCCTACGTCGCCTGATGCCTACCAATTTGGACACAGCCATTATATGTCTATGCTGGGCCGGTGTTCTGAACACCTGCCCTGGAAGCGATTCATGAAGTACTGCAGAGGGGTGATTCATTATTTTGTGATTGAATAGATATCAACGCTCAGTTGTTAACGACGCACGGCTCATATCTGGGAGACAAGCGTTCGAATCCGCTCGGGAACACAATAACACCAATTTATTTATTTTTAAATACCTGCGAAAGTTATAAATTATTGGTTTTAAACAACAGCCTTTGAAAAGCACTTGCACTTTCAACATAATGTCTTTTGTTCTATTGGATTTATTACATTGATTTTAACTGGACAGGCTAAAATCAGTCATTATTAAATATGTACAGTGCCTTGCGAAAGTATTCGGCCCCCTTGAACCTTTCAATATTTCGCCACATTTCAGGCTTCAAACATAAAGATACAAAATTTTAATTTTTTGTCATGAATCAACAACAAGTGGGACACAATCGTGAAGTGGAATGAAATTTATTGAATAATTTAAACTTGTTTTACAAATAAAAAACTGAAAAGTGGGGCGTGCAATATTATTCGGCCCCTTTACTTTCAGTGCAGCAAACTCACTCCAGAAGTTCAGTGAGGATCTTTGAATGATCCAATGTTGTCCTAAATGACTGATGATGATAAATAGAATGCACCTGTGTGTAATCAAGTCTCCGTATAAATGCACCTGCTCTTTGATAGTCTCAGGGTTCTGTTTAAAGCGCAGAGAGAACCATGAAGACAAAGGAACACACCAGGCAGGTCCGAGATACTGTTGTGGAGAAGTTTAAAGCCGGATTTGGTTACAAAAAGATTTCCCAAGCTTTAAACATCTCAAGGAGCACTGTGCAAGCAATTATATTGAAATGCAAGGAGTATCAGACCACTGCAAATCTACCAAGACCCAGCCGTCCCTCCAAACTTTCATCTCAAACAAGGAGAAGACTGATCAGAGATGCAGCCAAGAGGCCCATGATCACTCTGGATAAACTGCAGATAACTACAGCTGAGGTGGGAGAGTCTGTCCATAGGACAACAATCAGTCGTGCACTGCACAAATCTGGCCTTTATGGAAGAGTGGCAAGAAGAAAGCCATTTCTCAAAGATATCCATAAAAAGTCCCGTTTTTATAGTTTGCCACAAGCCACCTGGGAGACACACCAAACATGTGGAAGAAGGTGCTCTGGTCAGATGAAACCAAAATCGAACTTTTTGGCCACAATGCAAAACGATATGTTTGGCGTAAAAGCAACACAGCTCATCACCCTGAACACACCATCCCCACTGTCAAACATGGTGGTGGCAGCAGCATGGTTTGGGCCTGCTTTTCTTCAGCAGGGACAGGGAAGATGGCTAAAATTGATGGGAAGATGGATGGAGCCAAATACAGGACCATTCTGGAAGAAAACCTGTTGGAGTCTGCAAAAGACCTGAGACTGGGACGGAGATTTATCTTCCAACAGGACAATGATCCAAAACATAAAGCCAAATCTACAATGGAATGGTTCACAAATAGACGTATCCAGGTTATAGAGGCTAATCTTGATTTCATTTCTTTGTAGTTTCTAAT